TAATTAAGTGGTTTGATTCCACCAGGTGTGAAACGATTGAGCTGTTAATGGTCCTAATTACTCCACTGTTCAACCAGGCCGGGTGATGCTCACGGACTCGCTCAGATAAACGTTTGCTCGTGCGGCCGATGTACCTTGCCCGACAGAAACAGGTAAATAGGTATACACAGAAGGAGACGGCATATCCATATCCATATATCCATTATTTTGCAAATTTAGAAAGCTGGGAGAGATCAACGAGCTTATGGAAGAGTTCGAAATCTTAAGTTAGGTCACGAACTAGCCAATAAGGTAAAAATCGATATTAGAATGATACAAATACGAAGGGTGGGCCCGTTACTTGAAAATTTTGTGAAAGCGGACACAAATTTGACCAAACATTTGCCGGGCTTTGACAATATTCCGAAAGTCAATAGAAATCTCCCATTTATGAAAGCCTCAGTTTATCTTTGATTACATCTTCTGAATAACTGAAACCCGTCTTAGGTATGGTTGAAGAACGTCTGCACTACCGTGATTTATTTCCTGATAGTAGAACAGACCGCAACAAAAATTAAGATTGAAAAGTTATGATGTGGGTTTGTGGGTTAAAGAAACTGTGGTTAGACTTGGCTTCCGTCGGGGAGCCCTCCCTCCCTGTCACGAGCCAGTAGTTATATAATGGGACTCCAATTTTCAATTTCTGTTCGATCGATGAATTTACACTGACATTGGTACCCAACCTGTTTTAAATAGACTTACGGTTTATGTTTGACGAAATTGTGTGATGAACAACAAAGAACAGTGTACACACGTTTTAACCTTGGACACAACTCGTCACCATAGTTGTGTGTCCATGGCTGAATTATCGAACCACAAAATCTGGAATCGGCAGCCGGAACCCTTCCAGCGTTGGGCTTCATGGTAGACTGTTTTAGAACCATTATCACATAATCATTCAAGATTTTGAAATGAATTCATTTTTACAAGAAAAAAACAAATTGCCTTCGATTTTTGAAACATCCTGAAGTGTCATACTCGTTTTTTTCCGTTAACACATCCATGTTGTTTCCCTGAATACACTTCTACCGGTCAGTTTGTACTAGCACTCTAACATTCATTCAACCGAACAGTATATTTGTGATAAACGAGTCCATCCGTGTGGGTTATTGAGTAGCTATCACAAACACCGCGTGATCGATTATACGAGAGGTAAATCAAGGATATCAAGATATCCGTAGATGGCCAGAAAGGTGACAGCAACGTGTACGCGGCATTAGTTAGATTTTTGAATTAAATAGGATATAACAAAATGAGGTGTATCAGAGAGCTTAATATCTATCTTTGTTCCTCTTCAACTGCAAATGAACTCACACATTTCTTCCGCATTTTTGTTTATTTCCCGGTGGTTTTATTCAGACATATCGCAAATGAAGTACACATTCCACTGGTCTGACTACCTGGTATTTGCCTTCTGGCTAGTGATCTACTCCTTGGTCGGTATCTATTACCAATTTCGTCCGCAAATTCGCGCTATTCTGTGCCGTGTTAAATGCACTTGTCCCTGTCGGAAGAATGAATCAAACAATATCGATTCCAGAAAAGATTTGAACAACGTGGAAGACAATAGCACGGATACAGAAAGTCTGTTCCTTGGTAGACGCCAGCTGTCTCTTTTCCCTGTCTTGGCCAGTGTGATGGCCAGTTTCTTGTCAGCCGTCTCATTGATGGGTACTTGTTCCGAAGTATACCTCTATGGGATTCAATTTATTTTGATGATTGTGGCCTATGTGATTGGGTTCTCTTTGGCTTCGGAACTGTATATGCCGGTGTTTTACAAGTTGCGTGTAACCAGTGCTCACGAGGTGAGTGATAGGTCTTATACCTATTGGTATTTTGATGATGATGAAGGATGAAGCAGGGGGTTTCAAACGTTTTAATAATCCCACAGAGCACAGTGAGCACATTGTTCGCCACGCTGTTGTTGATCTCCTGATGTAGCAAAATTTAATCTCAAAACGTATTCGACTCTCACGAAGTTGATTTGATGTTCATCAGCCCGAAATTAGTTTCACTAAAAGTGAACCCCTGTATGTCTGCACCTCCTGGCATGAATAATGTCCCCGTCAGTACATAAGCAATTTATTTCCATGGAAAAAATCGCCATACTCTGTTGAGACAAAGATCCTACAAGGAAGTTTAGCTTCCTGGTGTGGATCACCTCGCGGCCAGTCCCACAAGATTAATAGGTAACTTGGCGTTTACGTCAGTTGATTATTTTCGATAAAAAGTATCATCCTGTCAGCTCATTCTACTTAAGCAGAAATTATTCAGAGCTCTGGAAATCGTCAGCCTGGTGTCGCTTGATCAGTTTCCCTCTGTGGACTGGACGGTGTCTTCCTGAAATCCTAAATGGCGAATGTGCCATTTCAATCGTACGTTGGTCAAAGTATTACTCCAAAACACTCGGCCCTGTTCCGCGCAGACCAAAGGTGATAATATTCATCTACTATGGCATTTGTGCTGCTCATCCTTTCAGACCCAGCGGTTAGAACAAATCTGTTTAGTCTATCAAACAGAAAAGTTGGCTTGTGATTGTCATCGGTGTGAAATTGTTGGAAGCATTTCACATCGGTTTGATCCATTTTGTTTCGGGCAACTTCACCAGTGCGCTTTCAATGAATACATACAGATTCGAACTCACAAGAGCACAAGAGCTTATAAAAATAACGCAATAAACACTAAATTTCCTCCTAGTCCTCCAAAGAAGGTTGAAACAGTTGTTGGATACCTCTATGACGCTTATTCAGTGTGTAGCATGTTGACTCGGAGCAACGATGGCATTCCGTGTTTAACAAATATAATGGAAGGTACGGATTGCGGACAATGTTAAAGTTCCGGTTTATAATAGCGGCCTAAATAGAAAGATTGATGGTCTCCGAGGTGAATTCGTGCTCCGTAATCATATGAAAACATCGTTTGTAGCTTTTACACGTAACACCGAAGGAAGATGGGCCAAAAGTGACTTGCATTAAAGACTTAGGTTGCATCGATCAGATCACTACACGGTCCTGATTAATTGATGCAGTTTGGAATTTTAATTTCCACTTTACCACCAGTATTAGATTTTTGATGACGAATAACAGGTGGAAGCGTAACTTGACTAATAGCAAGTTTAATGTCTACTGTCTGACGAGAATTAGACGAGAACCGGCTCATGTCACACGTACGCAGAGAAACATGAAGAGATTTTGCCATCATGTGTTTATCACACATAAATTACACGCATCACACGTCAAAATACTAATTCCTCTGATCTGTTGCAGTGACTGTGACTGAAAACGGACCATTTTCCACTCACGAATCTTGTTTTTTTATCTGATCAAAAGTCGGTTTACCTTTGATCATGCAGCGTTCAGGCATCCACAGTAGTAGGTGTCGGAAGTAAATAGAGTATGCTATCAAATACTTTGGATAGAATAAAATGCGAGCTCAATTTCTGACAATGTAGACTAGCTACCGGTTTCTCACGACGCTTTAACTTCGGGAAAACGATGAACCATTTGCTTGCCAGACAGCTTCCAAATACTTATCGCTAGTATGCATGCTGCCCTACAAATCACCTCTTCCAAATGTCTGAGTCGTAACTGCATTCACACATATCACAAACCTATCTGGAATGTAAACTTTGGTTTCAATACTGGGTGAATAAGAACCCGAAGTGCGAGGAGGGCGGAGTGAAATCGACCAATCTATTCCTCGTTTGTGCAATCATGATTGAGTGCGCATCCGCGTTACATTCTCAGCATGATTGATTCATGATTTCTGTCGGGTGAGATGATGTGCACATACATATGACTTCAATACGGAAATGAAAATATTGAGAAAGCTTTCGCTTATGTCTTAGCTCCAGACTTTTGGTTTACGAAAAATGACATCTTTTCGGCATTATGTACGGTTTTCACGTATAGGTCTGCATCAACAAGGGGATAAAAGCATTATCGATGTCATTAGCCAATGCTGTGAGTAAACGTGAAAGATAAATTTCAGTGATGATTTTGTAATGATACTGTTTAATTTTTTTCACACTACATCCGCTTCTTTTTACCCCCGACCTTCATAAAGTACTTGGAAATGCGATTCAGTAAAGCTGTTCGGACGGTCACAACGGTGGGTTTCTGCATTCAGATGGTGAGTTTGCTCAATCCCGGCCATCAACACTCCTGGAATTTCACGTCATTTGGAGTGGAATTTTTTCCCGACAATTATTGGTCGACCGATTGGGGGAATGATTTTGTGCAACTGAGGTTTTATCAGCTATGATGAAGCCTTTATTTTACTTCACCTTGACTCCATAGAGAGAATGACCGAGGTTCAGTACAAAACATGGTCTCTGCATCAGCTCCCTACTTGTGCAGAAGAAAACATGGGCTGTAAGGCAATCTTGTGTTGGTGTACGTTCATCAGTGGCTCGTTAGGAGTGATGCAGATGCCATCCGGGTATCCAAGCATTCTTGCTATTTGAACACATTTGCTTTACAGCTATATGGTATCTCTGACAGCTGTTCTGATTTCCCCAGCAATCAGTAGCTATCTTTGCAATCCCATACGCCACCTCATACTGGCGTAATTTCACTATAAACCGTTTAAATCGGGTTACGTTGCTTTATTGACATTCAGATCAATGACAAGCAGGTAACACGATGCTGTGGTGTGCCTAGTTGAGCATTTTTTTTCTTTTAAAGGGTTATCACAGAAATGGGAGAAATCTCGCCCCAAAATGTTGGCTTCTCCAGGAACTGACGAAAAGGATTAGGTTTTAAAATACAATATACAAAATTGATGTAGAATATCCACGGTTTCAAGATAACACAAAGCGAAGGGATGAGCGTTGGCTCTCTTTTTTAGTATGAGATGTGGGTGTTACAAATGAGAATGGATGAAGACAGCGATTCATTCAAACATACTATTTCTTCGAAGCATCATGTGTATCTGGTAGGATAAATGGATCCGCTACACTGGTCCAGTTGCTTTGATTATCTAGAAGGTGGTGGTTGTGTTGTTAAGGTCATCGACTAATCGTCCTGGTGAACGCCAGTTCGAATTCTACCACAACCGCCTGACGTTCCCAATTTTCTGTGTTGTTTGACAGCTTTTTGATTGAACGCTTCAGCATTCCCGAAAGTTTAGTACTTGTATATTCAGTAAAAGAAAGTAAAATGAAAGATAAGATAAAAGATCATTGAGAGAAGTATTGTCTGTGTCACCCAGACAACTTCCTCAGCAAGGATGATTTGTGAAGGGGGCTTACCAGTTAGTAAGTTGAGGTTGTAAATTTATCACTTAAAAAGTATTAGAAAAATGGTAATCAGTTGATCGGTTGGTATCGATTACGACACACTGCCTCGCGGTGTCTAACCTATTACTGGAGTCCCTAGGTGAAATGACAAAGTACGTTCACGGTTCGATTCATTTCCATCACTACCACAATCCCTCAGTGAGATATCATTATACTCATTGTTTGCTTCAGTATTCTAAACAAAGCGACAGAGAAGGGATCGCTCAGTTGACAGTGCTACCGATTCAGCTCATCAGATTGATAAACTGAGACAATCTGGTTGCTGTGGAGAGCGTTGAAGTCTCGAATAGGGTTACAGCATCTGGAAAAATTCTGTCCAGTTGTCGAAATGTTTCGTCTTTCACAAATAGAACCCCTTCTGAATGTTCATCTTCGTTATCAGTATCGGTTTGTTGAGTGTATCTCAAAGGGGTTGTTTCTTCATTCAGTGTAACTGTTTTCGGTTATTCGAGTACCGAAATTCGGGTACCAAGTGAAAAAAAACAATAGACTGAACTTTGTACATTTCAGTTTTTCATTGAACCAATTCATTTTGATGATGTATGTAAAAAACTATCTGCTCAGTTGTAATCGGATTCTGCTGACGAGTTGTATATCGATCGCTGGCTTGCCACGTCCAGGGGATCAACGCTCTAGGATTTAGCGGCTATCTGCAACGACCGTTCACAGAACCGGTCCTGATGTTTTCAGCGAGTTCGACTAACATTATTTGTGTCCGAGTCCCATAGCCCGGTTGACGCTTCATTCATGTAACACACAACTTATTCTTGATAAGGTCAAGGTGGTTGCAAAGTTCTTTTGAATTATTAGCATTTACTGCGGATAAAAAAGTCCTCATTTGATGATTGGTCCTATGCTCAATAGGCTGGTAAAACCAGGCTGGAAGGAAAGTTATCTTGTTCCTAATGATACTTGAAACCCGGAATCCTTTAGCTAGGGTACCCTTTGGCTTTTGTATTCATGCGGATGTGTCGCACAAACATCTTCCGTTCAGATTCTCATCTCACAAGAGGTGTCATTGTCTGAGCTGAGGTTTAACTATTTTTTGTCGCGAAAATTGGAAAAGAGGATCACACAACGTTTGAGGTTCCAACTTTCACGACCAAAGATGGTGATGATGATAATCAGCGAATGCCAAACCGTTTCATGACAAGATTGACTAAAGGTGCTTCAGACTTTCAGCAGGTAAATAACTGCACCTAGATAACCAACTGTAATGATGTCGGCATATCTACCGGAAAAGTAAAAACACGAGTAAATCTTCACTTTGCTCCATGTGCACACAATGACGTAAGACGTGATTCCATTAAGCTGCATGGAGAAGTTCAGCTGAAATTATGAATAATTTCTTATTTCTTTATTTTTGTTCACTATCCTATTGTTTTCTCCATTATCTTGCTTTTTTGTCGAATAAATGAACAATTGCACAAGTTACTTTTAAGAAAAGATAAAAGACTTTTCAGATGGATTTATTGTGCTACGAAGAATTGGGGAGCTTTGAAGGCAGTGGTGAAATTCGAATGCAATATCCCCAGAAGTATGTGATGCTGATCAACT